ATATTGAAAGCAACAAGAGAGGATTAGAGAAGCAACTCATGTACAAGAGATCCTCAATAAGATTAATGATAGGTACAAAAGATTTCTCATCATCATGGAAGCCAAAGGCAGAAGCATGACTTTACTTAAAGTGCTGAAAGAAAAAAAAAATACTATCAACTGAGAATTCTATATCTGATTTAATATTAAAATGGCAATATTCCCCAATGTAATCTACAGACTCAACACAATCTGTATCAAATCCCAATGGCCTTGTTTGCAGAAATGGAAACGCCAATTCTACATTGCTGGTGGGAATGTAAAATGGTATCACTATTGTGGAAAACAGTTCGGTGGCTCCTCAAAAAGTTAAACAGAATTACCATGCGACCCAGCAGTTCTACTTTTAAATATCTATCAAAGTGAACTGAACACATAATCACACACAAAAAACTTGTAAATTAATGTTCACAGCAGCATTATTCATCATAACCAAAAAGTGAAAACAACCCAAATGTCTACCAACTAATGAATGGATAAACAAACTCTGCCATATCTATAACAATGAAGCAGCGATTTTCCAACCTTTTTCTTCATTTCTAGGTGCATATAAACTAATTACTAAAATTCTGCAGCACACCAAAAATTATATTTTTTTGCCAATTTGACAAAAAATAGGTATAATTTTGACTCATTCACACTGGACAGCTAGTGTTGTGTTGCTTGTTGTCATTTTTTTTTTAGTTTGACAATTTAGAGGAAAAGAGGTCAGTGCCCTTGACTAAATAGTCAGGTATTGGCCTGTTTTAAAAATTCTTGCAGCACACTGGTGGAAAATCATTGCAATGGAATATTATTCAGTCATAAAAAGTAATGAAGTATAGCCCGGCCAGTGTGGCTCAGTTGGTGAGCGTCGACCTATGCACCAAGAGGTCACTGGTTCGATTCCTGGTTGGGGCACATGCCCAGGCTGTGGGCCAAATCCCCAGTGGGGAGCATGCAGGAGCCAGCTAGTCAACGTTCTCTTTCATTGATGTTTCTATCTTTCCCTCCCCTTCCTCTCTCTCTAAAATCAATAAAGAAAAAAATTTTTTTTAAACTAATGAAGTACTGCCCCAGCCAGTTTGGCTCAGCGGTTAAAGCATTGGCCTGTGGACCAATGAGTCTTGGGTTCAGTTCCGGCCAAGGTCATGTACCTCAGTTGTGGTTAGTACCTGACTCTGGTTGGGGTCTTGCAGGAGACGGACACTCGATGTGTCCCTTTCACATGTTTCTGTCTCTCTCTCTCTCTTCCTCTTTTTCCCTCCCACTCTATATGAACAAAAGTGGGGAAAATGTCCTCTGGTGAGGATAATTATAAAGTAATGAAGTACTAACATATGCAACAACATGGATACATCTCTAAAACATCATGCTGAGCAAAAGAACCAGACATTTATGCTGTACACCTGCAACTAATACAAAATAATACTGAATGTAAACTATAACTGAAAAAAATTTTAATTTAAAAAAAAAAAAGCCAGACACAGAGACCACATATCACATGATTCCATTTATATGAAGTGTCCGGAACAGGCAAATCCGTAGAAATAGAAAGTAGATTAGTGGTTGCCAGGGGCTGGGTAGGGCAAAATGGGGGGTGACTTCTAAGGAATACAGAGTTTCTTTCTGGGGTAATAAAAATGTTCTGGAATTAGTGGTGGTAGTTGCAAAACCTTGTGAATATACTAAAACCACTGAATTATAAACTTTATAAAGGTGAATTATATATGAATTATATTCAATTTTTAAAATGCTAAATAAAAATTTACAAATCACACACTGGTTTGCAAATTGGTCATTTAAAACCCAAGATCCCTTTTCTTTTTGCATTTGTCAGAATTACTGAAGGTAGAGTGCTGAAATCACTGAAACAAAAGGCAAAGTGAAAAGTACATTTCTATCAACACTGAGCCAAAGTCTCAGGTTCATGTTATCTTTATTGGGATTCCTATCCAAGTGGTGGCTTGGATTACATGCTAGAACCCCTCTCTCCCTCAATTCTCAATTCAAGAAATAGTGATTAAATTTCTCAAGTTGACTCACAAAAGCTAGTTAAGTCTTATCTCCTCCTCTACCTGTAAAGTATACCCTGGTCAGAAGTACCAACCTTTTCTCTCCCCATTTTCTGTTTCTATCTCTCCCTCTCCCTTAGCAATTTATTTAGCTAAATCATAAAATTTGTGAGTGATTGACAGCTGTAAACATTATTCCCTCTACTAAATTCCTCCAAATCTCTATGCCCCAAAAAAGTATTGGACAATTTAATACATCAATGTTTAAAACATTAAGGGGGTCAGCAAAGGATGCCTGGGAATTGATACTTTGAAGCAAGAATGCCACCAATATCAACATCCTACTAGATGGTGGTATGCCCTTAGACTCAGCTTCCCCTCCCCATTTTTTCCAGTTTAATGCATTTTAAAATCGAAGACTCACTAATATACTTCGAATTAAAATCTATGATCTACACCTATGGTGTCTGCCCTCCCCACCACTCCCCGCCAGACCTAGTCAATTAAAATCTCTGGGAAATGAAGTCTGGGAAACTTATTTTCAAAGTGATTCTAATACACACTAAGTTTGAGAAACACTTTTAAAAAATAAAAAGTTCAATAAAATAGGACCTGCAGCCATTGAAGGTATAGGTAATGTGTAAGATGGACTATAACTGTACTATGAAGTTATGATCACTGGGTTTACCAGTCAGAACTAAGCACAGAACACTTTTATGTCTGCTACTCACTCACTGTTCACTACTGCATTAAATATGAAGTGTGTACTGTGTGTGTGTATGTTAACAGCACAACACTAAAGGCACAGATGACAAAGCAGTGGTATACTCAAATCAAGTAGAAGAGTTTTCCAACATACTGAGGAAAATATGGAAAAAAGACATTTTTCTGTTCTTATTTATTCTATACCTCAATAAAGGACTGAATTTCGGCTAATAAAGACCTAAATGGATATAGTCCTCATTAGATCAAGTCTAAAAATTGAGTAATTTTCCTTCTGAGTAATTTCAAACATCAATATGCAAATGTGGTATGTAACTGTCCCTACTAGGATGGTTTTTGCTAGCACATCTTAATGGTTTTCATAATGGTGAGATCTTTACTTTTCTACCCTGACCCTCCCAATTTTGCCAACAGGTTTACTCACTGAAATGAACTATTTTGTGTAAGAAAAATGCTTCTTGATTTTAAACTATTCATGCTGGCACACTATATAGTGCACACACAATACAGATTCTTTTTCTGCTTCAAGCTTAAAAAGCATTGAGAATCCCTTAAAAGTATACGGAATGTTTTCTAGTCTACGGCTAAGAAACACTTCCAAATTACTACCAAAGATTTAATTTATATCATTTCTAATTCATTTACAAAAACAGGTTTTGATGATAATAAAAGTACCAGTATTTTAAAGTATTATCTAGTTTGTCAGGCCGATGTGGCTCAGTGGTTGAGCATCGACCAATGCAGGAAGAGGTCGCTAGTTGGATTCCCAGCCAGGACACATGCTCAGGCTGTAGGCCCAATCCCCAGTTGGGGGCATGCAGAAGGCAGCCAATCGATGTTCTCTCTCATCGATGTTTCTATCTCTCTCCTCCTCTCATTTCCTCTCTCTAAAAAATCAATAAAGGAAAAGAAAAAAAAAATTACCTAGTTACAGTGAATAACATTCATTCAAAATATTTATGGAGTACCTACTACATACCCAGGTGCTAGGAATAGGAATACGGCAGTTAAGGTTATAATTTGCTATATGTTGATGACTCAGAGTCCAGTCATTACAAATACTAAGAGTTACAATACTACTATATGTGTAGACAGGACTGGATAGAATCTATACAGATCTCATACTAGACCAAGGAAATTTGTTTTTGAAATAATTTCTATTGCTTTAACTAATTAAAAGCACACACACACAGTACAGTCTATGGTTTCAAGTGTGTGGATACACTCCATACATGTAGTATTTTGAACATTAAGTTCCCTTTCATAATGTTTATACTCTACACTTTAATTTTGTAGCAAGATGTAGCTATTCACCTCATGGAAAATGACCGGGAAACACTCCCCCTTCTCGATAGAAAAACTTATTAAGAAATGAAAGCATTTAAAATCAATATACTAAGTAATCTCTAAAATGCGCTTCTCTGAACTCTAATAAACGTCCTATGATTGCTCTTCAAACAAGAAAAACAGCAGAGAAAATAAAACTTACACTTCTCTGTCACTCTAGAAATAACATTACTTCTTCGATATTTCTGCATATAAAAAATCATGTTTCCTGTAAGAGACCAGAGAACCTTAATGCCCAATTTAGATGCAAGACAAAAACCACAGCCTATGCAGAAAAATGGGACATTCCTTCCTAACACCCAGGTTAGGGTTTTTGTTTGTTTTTTGTGTTGAACTGCTTCGGCGTTCTGGAGACCTGGAAGGATAGGTTCCACTGCAGAAAAATACTCAGGTGCTACACAGTAGCGGCCTTGTCAGCCCCGCCCGCACGCGGTTCCAAAACTGATTCCGAAGTCCCCCAGCAAAAGGAGGGAAATACACCCCACCGCCCTGAAACCAACAGAGAAGGGGCTAGTGCCCCCACGAGCCAGTGCGCCCCGCGTGCACCGCGCGTCCCCCAAGTGCCCTTGGAAACAGCGGCCCGCGGGGAAAGCCGCGCCCGGTCCCGGAGGACTCCAGTTCCGCCCGACAGCTCATCCCTTCCCCACCCCGCCCCTGGGACCCGCCAGGCCCGCCGAGCCGGCTCCGCCCCTCGCCTCCCGGCCAGGCCCCGAGTCCCAGCCCCGGTGCAAGGCAGCCTGGGCGGGCGGGCGAGGCAGAGCCCAGGAACCCGGGGCCCCAAGCAGAGCCTTCGTCCCGCAGGCCGCAAAGACTGTTCCCGGAGCGTGCGCCGCCGCAGCCCCGACCAGGCCGGCGTCCCGGCCTTTGGCCTGGGCGGACGTCGCCCTCGTCGCTCACCTGCGTTCCCACCACGACGATCTGAGGCAACTGGATGATGTCTGCGCCCACAGTGTTGAAGACGTCCTGGAGCTTGTTGATAACAGGAATTAGCGCCTCCATGACTCCGAGAACACGGGACCCCCGCCCGGCGGGCCGCGGCAATGAATGGGGCCGGGGCCCAGATTCCGCCTCCTTCCTCCTGTCCTCCGCCCTCTCCTCGGGAGCCGGCACCCATTGGACCCCGCCCGGCCGCTACCTGCCCCCTCCCGGCAAGCCGTGCGCTAAGAGGGAGGTGGCGAGAAACAAAGCCTGCCGGGAGATGTAGTTCTGCAGCGGAGGGCCGCCAGGGCCTACGTCTCCCAGAAGGCTGCGCGGCGCGGGCGGACCGGAGCCGGGGAGGGAGGGCTACTTATTACTGGGATGCTTTCTTGGCTCTTGTCCAAAAAGTAGGGCGTGAGGCCTGGAGAGTAGGAGAGGAAAGATACATTTATGCCTGGCTAGAGGGTATTGGGTGGGGAAATGCTGAATATGTGTTAAGTACAGCCGAGGCTCTTGATTATCCAAGATTCAATTTCCTTATGAGGACGCTTTCTCAGTAAGGACGGGTTGGAAAGGCTTAAATAGCTCCTAGCCTCGGACACCCCTGCCTGGTGCAAAGGTCTGTAGGCTGATAGTAGATAACGGGGGTGCTATTTTGCAAAAATACAGAACCAGCCCAGGTTAGAAAACGGTTCTCCAGGTTTTTGTAAAAACAAAACAAAAACAACATGTTAAAAAAGTGTCAGGTCCGGCCAGTGTGGCTCAGTGGATGAACATCGATCCATGCACCAAGAGGTCGCTGGTTCGATTCCTGGTCAGGACACATGCCCAGGTTGTGGGCCCGATCCCCAGTGGGGGACATGCAGGAGGCTGCCAGTCAGTGTTCTCTCTCATCAATGTTTCTGTCTCTCTCTCCCTCTCACTTCCTCTCTCTCTAAAATCAATAAAAAGAATTAAAAAAAAAAAAAAAAACATTTAAAAAAAAGAAAAAGAAAGTGTCAGATATAGCGGGGAAAGGCTGGGTCCTTGTTTTTTATGTTCGGTATAAAATGGTATTTACTATGGCCTGATTCCCGGCAAAGTGGAGCTCTGATACTGCCTTACTAGCTCTTTGCTAAGTGTGCCTACTGTTCTATTCCTAAATGTTGTTTTTCTTTTAGACAGATAGCATCTCTCTTCTCCAAACCTCCAAAGCTTCCTATCTCAGAGTAAAAAACAACAAACTGACATTTAAGCAAAGAGTCAAAGTAGGTGAGGAGAAAAATGCTTTTTCTCCATAGCATTTATCTCCACCTAGCATGCCACACATTGAAATTCTTATGCTCTCTTATTTTTGCTACATTATAAGCTCCTGGAGGCCAGATATTTTTGATTGTTTAATTCACTGATGCATCCCTAGCCCCTAGAAAGTGACAAGATAGTCACATTTTCAGTCCCCTTTGAGTTTGCAATCTAACAGAGGACCATTAAAAATAAATGAATAAAGTCCTATGATTGGGTGTATTATGGAGCACATTATAGGAGCACTATTTTTAGTCTGAGGAAGAGGAAAGTTCAAACAAGACTTCCTAAAAGTCACTAGGTTTAATCTCCATGAGGGAAAGGACCACCAGCATATGGAAGTTGCGCACTACACAACTTCAGTAGGTATTGTTCACCAACACAGCCATCCACAGTAGTCCTAGGGGACATGCTTGATTTGTTCAGCAAGACACATGGTAGGTACTCAATACATATTTTTGAACAAATGAATGAATCATCTTAATAAGTTTTATGAACAATCCCTTCTGTTGGACTCTTCTTAAAAACAAAACTTTCAGAGACAAAGTGAGGGGAAATTTTAAAAACTCCAAAAAACAGAGCCAACAAAAAAAGGGGGGTCTGCCTGGCCCGTGTGGCTCGGTGGTTGATTATGGACCCATGCACCAAGAGGTCGCCGGTTCAATCCCAGTCAGGGCACATGCCCAATCCTTGGTTGGTGGCATGCAGGAAATGACCAGTCGATGTTCTCTTTCATTGATGTTTCCCATCTCTCTCTCTCCCTTCCTATCTCTCTAAAATCAATGAAGAAAAAATTTTTTTCTATTTCCATTTGAATTATAAACTAAATCTTGTGATGGAACATCCAGAGCTTTCAATTAACATGCTTCAGGAACAATAGTGACTGCTTTTTAATTCTATTTTTTTCTAGGAGAAGGAAGAATGATCACATGGTCACTGCTCACGTATCTGTCACTACTACCACATTAGGTTTAAGCAGATGTGTCCAGTACTTGTTTAGAAACTAGAGCATCAAGTTTATTAGGCACATTAAAGTGTTTGAGGCTAGAGAAATAGGAAATGGTGAGGCCTTGAAAAAGAGTGGCTCTAATTTGATAACATTAAAAAAAAATAAGGCAGGATACTCTATGTGCCATGTGTTTCCCTGGAGACAAAGCAAACTGATTTGGCCTTTCACTTTTAAGTTCAGAACACTCTTGCTTGTGGGAAAGCCAATTAGCCAGTAAGTATGATTTTCCTCATCTAAAGTAGGATAATGTGTTTCTCAGTGGGTTGCTATGAAATAAAATTAAGCTATTATAGGTACTGTCTCAAAGGCTTTTTAAAAAAATATTCCTCCCTCAACCATCTCTCTCTCACTATAAATTTATGATTTAGGCTAAAAAGTTTGATTGCAATTCACAGAAATTTAACTCAAACTAGTGGATTCAAAAAGAGGAGTTACTTAACTTGTATAATCAAAGGGCTAGCATGACCTTGGCCTCAAAAATAACTGGAGCCATGGCCTCAGGCAGCATCAGAGTTCTCTCTACCTCTTCTCTCTGTCTCTCTCTCTGCATCATCTACTTCAGTCCCCCAGATCAATGTGAACGGGGTGAGCAGGCAGTGGCGAAGGCTGTAGCGGATCCATTAAGCAAGCTGCTCCTGGCAGAAGAGGTTGAGCGAATCTGGGGAGAAACTGGGTTTCCACCCTGTTTCCCTGGTGTATGAGTTTCCTATTGCTGCCTTAACAAATTACCAACAACTCCGTGGCTGAAAACAACAAAAATGTATTATCTTATAGCCTGGTAGGTCAGAAGTCCAACGCGGCTCTCGCTGAGCTAAAATCAAGGTATCGTCAGGGCTGCGCTCCTCTCTGGAGCATCCACGGAAGCGTAGTCTCCTTGCCTTTCCAGATTTGAGACTGCTCACATTCCTAGCTCTTGAGCCTCTTCCAACATCTTCAAAGCTAGCAATGTCACATCTCTTTGACCCTTCATCATCATCACATCTCTCTCTGACCATAGCCAGGGAAAGTTTTCTGCTTTTAAGAACCCATGGTTAGAGTGGCTCACCTGGATAACCTCAAAGTGCGTATATCTGCTAAATCCCTTTCGCCATGTAAAGCTCTCAGGTTCCAGGAATTAAGTTAAGGTGATAGTCTGGGGATGGACCACCCAAGTGAGGCCATTTAGAGCCTTCCCTGGAGATTTTTTAAACTTGAGTTAACCAGAGAATTTTCTCTCTCATTATAGAGCTATGATGATGTGAGTCACTGTCTTCAAGGATCATATTTCCTACCACATGGAATAAGCAGGTTTCGGGAAATAAAGTAGACTCCTTATTCATATAAAAAATAATTTCCAAGTCCAACAATTGTTTCCTATTTCTAAATGTACATCTATAGCACATAATTAAGGCATTCTGAATCCCAGAGTTAATCACTCCCTCTTTTCCTTGTTGCTCTTTTCACACATTATTAAACTTTTATTTATTAAGTGCTTACGGTATGTGAGGCACTGCCCTGAGTATTCTACAGTTGCCTTGTGGGATAGGTTTATAGATGTGGAAATCAATGCTTCAGGGGTTTAAGTGAAGTGATACGTTTACGTAGCTAGTATATATGGCAGAGCTGGGATCAAAACAGGCTATTTGTCCAACTCAACCTCGATTCATACTGCCTCACTTCTTCATTCATTCTGTCATTTATTCAGCACATATTTATTAATAGCCTAGTAGGCATATGGGTCGTAGCCAGGTGCTGTAGTTGCCAATGGAAGGGTACTATGCACAGGACAGTAGCATGCCCTTCCCCCTTAGCCAACTGTGAGCTAGCTGAGGGCAGAAGCGGTGTCTTATTTAGCAAGTTATCTCCACTATTTAGTGTGATGCTCGTTACATAACACCACTGTAATAAACTTGGGGTTGAGCTTCCTTGTATTTTACTTGGAAAACCTGGAATAACAAAGATTTAAGCAATTGGTACAATTGCAACTAGAATTTGTGATCAAACCCAGCCCAAACCTGTTAGGCTAGCCTGGCATAGCCCTCCTCATCTGAATAGCTGCCATGTTACTTTGCTAGGGGGTAGGCTGGCTTTGTTCTAACTTAAAATCCCTAATAAGAGAAAGTTTATTTTAAACTAAATGAGTAACGGAAAAAAGTTTAATAGCTCTTGCAAAAGATCATTCCGATGATTTTTTATGGCACACATATCCAAATTAATTTTGTGCCAACATTTTGATCATTAGTCTTAGCCAAGCTGCCATTATCCATATCTTGAAGCCTCTTTGTCATATTTTGGAACCTGCCAGCATTTTTCAAAGATGATAAACACCTTTAATGAATTTGCACTGCCCCCTGTGCCTCAAGCTTAACACAGACATTGTTGGCGGATGCAGAAAATTGTCTGCAAATGGTGGGTCAGAAGCCAGCCGTGGAATCTGGCGAGATAGCCACAGCCCATTAGAGGGCAGTGTGACCACAGTTAAGAGTAGGAGAGTCCTCAGAGAGTGAACTGGTGGCCCTAAGGGAGGGGTTGGGGGACTGGGTGAAAGAGGGGAAGGGGTTAAGAAGTACAAAGCGGTAGTTACAAAATAGTTACACGGATGTAAGTCCAGCATAGGGAATATAGTCAATACTATGATGATAAATATGTATTGTGCCAGTTGGGTACTGGAAATATTGAGGGGTACACTGTGTAAAGTATATGATTGTCTAACCACCAAGCTGTATACCTGAAACCAATACAAAATAAAATTGAAAGTAAATAAATAAATAAAGTTGAATCCTCGAATCTCCCTTCGCGCGTCTCCCTAGATTATTTTTCTTCCTTTTGTTCTACACGTATACACCAGCGGGACTCGGCCTTTGTCCTCCTCCCACCTCAATGTGACACATTTAACTATTTGAGATAAGAAAGTGATTTTACATCACAGTAATGCCAAAAACTTAAAACTTCTAGTACTAAACTATGT